ATTTGAGATATTTTAGTTTTCTTTAAAACTGGGATACCAAAGATATATGCCTATGTTTTACTTACTAAAAATAGAAATCGTTCATTGACAAAATATTCTACATTAGGCAAATATTGAAAAGTGTTTCCATTACCTACTATTCTAAGTCTTCTGTTAACTCAAAATATTCGACATTTTTTTAAGAAAAGCAATTGAAATATTTAGAAATAAGGATTAAACCTAAAAACAAAGTGTGCAAACTAGAGTATTACACCACTGGTTCAGTCAAACTTAAAGTCAACGAGTAAACAACAAAATTAAAAAAAAGAAAAGCCTTACTCAAGCCCTTGTTAGTAGTTGGTTAGTTGGTCTTGAGTAACGTTTTGACATTTTTTCAATTTTGCAGTTTGCCCACAGTCTTTAATTTTGACTAATTTTTAGTTTGTTTTGACTTTATTTTAGGTTTAATCTTTATTTTTAAAGATTTTAATTTCTTCTTTTCTATAGTATTGGTAGTGCTTGGTAGACCCTTTTTAATGTAGACAACCAACCACTCTATAGTAGATTGATTTAAGTCGACTTTACATTATGCAATTTTCATGCTATGAACGACAGGTTATGAGACTGCGCTTGCCTAATAGGGATGGTGATAAACTTGAGCTTACTCGGCTTAGCTCAAGGCTCAGCTCGTTTGACGAGCCGAGTTTCGAGCTCAAGCCAGTTTGTTTATTACCAGCCGATCGGCGAGCCGAAACAATTTTTTTGAGCCAAGCCGAGCTGAATTTCCTGAGCTTGTTAATATTTACTTATACTCTAATACTTTTTCTAATTCACTTATCTTTGCTACGAATGATACTTTTGATTGAGAATAACTAATTCAGACTACAAATATGGATTTGAAATATACAGTGTGTCCGTCAAGTATGCAATAAATAGGATATTTTTTTCCTAAACTAAAAGCCTTAATTTTGTTAGTTATGGTTATTGTTCACCTAGTCACCATGTTCATTGTTAGGTTTGGTTTTGGACAAAATAGATCTCAACGTATTTGTTGTTTTGAATGTTGTTGAAATGATTAAGATAAATGATAAAGGATTATCAGAAAAACTTAAAAGGGTAGGAAATAAATTCAACATTTCAACAACATTCAAAATAACAAACACGTTGAGATCTATTTTGTCCAAAACCAAACCTAACAATGAACAAGAAAGGACAAAGAATTGCATTTATAAAATACCTTGTGAATGCGATCAGTTCTGTTTAGGTAAAACATCAAGGCCATTAAATGTTAGAAAAAGTGAACATTAATCTTATATTAAAAATAGAGAATTTGATAGATCTCAAAGATGTAAACACGCATGGGATAATGAACATAGGGTTCAATGTAATAATTTAAATGTAGTCCTAAAAGAAACGGATGGTAAAAAAAGAAAAATCAAACAAGCGGCTCTAATTATGCTAAATGAGACCAATTGTGTCGCAAATTCCTCGGCAGAAATTAGTAGGATCTGGTTACCAATATTTAAAGAGGAAGTTATTAATAAGAAAATACCAGTATTAGTAAGTCAGTAACATATAGAGGATACATTATTTATGTTTTTTAAATAACGAAACATATAAAATCAGAATTTGGTATTTATTGAAGGTAAACTAAATGGACGACCAAATACTTACCATGTCGGGATAGTATTGTGAGGTTTTTTGCTGGTTTTTCCTTCATAATTTACTATGGAATCACTAACAGGAGAATTTTACTGTCATCATGTCATGTGTTTGTCTTTTTAAAGACGAATTACATGCTATGATGTTTTTCTGACGGATATTCTCAAGTTAAAGTTGATTTCATGTAATCGAATGAACTATCTTATAAGTAAAGTCGTCCCAGGAGCGCAACTCAACAATATTGGCAATATCATTTTAAAGTCGTCTACTTTAAAATGCATAATGTATGTGTAAATTGTCAATATAAACGAGTCTGATAAAATTAAATTATCAGAAGAATTTTTCACTAAGTAACAAAAAAACAAAATTTGTTTAATTTACTGTATGTATTTTGAGAACGGTTTCCAAAGTGGAAATTGAAACGTCAATAAACGTATTTTTACCTTTAATTGTGGCTTATGCCCAGTTAAATAGTAATTAATTTAAAATGCCACAAGAAAATAGCTACAAAACAATATTAGGAATATGAGTCTTGGCACACTTATATTTTATAATAAAAAAGAATAATCAAAGTAACAGCCTTTTGTTAAATATACAAATTAACCCTAGAATGGTACACTGTCGCAGTTTCGATTAGATGCAGTCAGCACGTTCCTAGAGAGGGGAGGCTTAGATTCTCAGTACCAGTACCTCTTTTAGTTTCAACCATATCAACTATAAACTATAAATCAACTATAACCGTAACTGTTTAACGGGCGCTAATAGCTATTGTAAAATATTTATCGGTGTCACTTACAACACCACAGTACAATTCCCGGTAGAATTTTGAATATAGAAGTAAATGGCTTCAACAAGCAAAGAGTTGACTCAGGCTGAGTTAAAAGAAATTGTGCATGCTTATGAGGCTGATGAGCGTGATGAAGATGTCCCTTTAAATAATACAGAATCTAAACGTTTGAGTAAGGATAAAGACAAAAAGCTTAGTGAAAGTGAACATTCTGATTCCAATTTAACAGAACCAGAGGTTAGTGAAGAGGAGAGTGAAGATTCGCAGAAAGATAGCGATCAAAAAAGAAAAGAAGCATACAGAAAAAATGGTTTTAAGTGGTATTAAACTCCTTTTTTCTCAAAGAACACTCACACAGTTAAAAAAAACATAGTTCTTCGTCTATCAGATCCAAAGGCTCACGCTTTAAATACTTCAGAAGAGATTATGGTTTGGAAACTATTTTTTAGCGACTTAATGATAAACTATATTACTCAATATAAAAACCAAGAAATATCTAAACAATCTACCAAATTAAGTCAACTGTTATAAGCAAAGAAGAGATTTTGGCATTATTCGGTCTTTTATATATGAGTGGTCTTCTAAAAACTAGCTAACTGAGTACCTCGGATTTATGGTTAAGACAAATTGGAATACCAAATTTCAAAGCAACAATGTCACAAAAACGCTTTGAATTTTTGATTAATTGTTTTCGTTTTGGTAACAAAATAACTAGGGAGGAAAGGAAACGTGATGATAAATTTGAACCTATAAGATTTCTTTGGAATGAATTTATTGAAAATTGTGAAGCTAATTACACTCCTGGCGCATATTGATTGTTCAGTTGCTCAGTTTTCGGGGCAGATGTCCTTTTAAAATTTATATTCCAAATAAACCAGACAAATAAGGAAATAAAATCGTTATGTTTTACGACTCCAAGACTTTTTATATGTATTATGAAATAACATATGTGAGAAAAGAGAGACGAGATGCATCAGAAACTTTGCCCACCCAATACATTCTTCGCCTATCCAAAAATCTCTATGGCCCCAATAGAAATAATGTCACCATGGATAATTGGTTTTTGTCCTCAGATCTTGCAGAAAAGCTTTTACAACGAAAGGTTGATATTCCACCAGAATTTCTTAAAAAAAATTGTTTTAAATTCTTACTTTGCTTTTGACGATAATAAAACGTTAGTAAAATTTTCTCCAAAACACAAAAAATATTGTTTTATTGCTGTCAACATTGCAGAGTTATGGTGTAATTTGAAGACACTAGCAAGCCCGAGATTGTTTTATTTTATAACTCTATAAAAGCTGGAGTAAACACTTATGATCCGTTGTGTCATTTTAAATCTGTGTCTAGAACAACTCGTCGGTGGCCTCTTAGAGTTTTTTATGGCATGCTTGATGGTGCAGGTATTAATGCCTATGTTATTTATAAAGCAAATAGAACTAAATCAGATCCGAATTTAAAAATGACCCCAGGAAAGATTTTCTTAGACATTTAGCACTAGAGTTGGAGAGTCCGTAAATAAAAAAGAGATTAGAAATACCAACTTTGTCTAGATTTTTGCGCTCCATGATTTTGTATGTTCTTGGTCAAGAGGACCAGCCAGTTCTCAAAAATCAAGAAATTTAACCTCCAACCCACAAAAAATGTCAAGTTTGCCCTCGATCTGCCAAAAGAAAAGGTAGAGACCTGTGCGTCCGCTATAAAGCTTGCCTGTGACATAGAAGACCAATCTGTCCAACTTGTACCGAAGAACTTTGATTTTTTTTTTGTCATAATAATGTTCTTTTCTACTTTTTTAGAGTCTCTTTTATACCTTTGCACAATTAAAAATGTAGAAAATACGTATTTTTTTGATTTCTTCATATAAATTATCTGCGGTGTCGTATATGACACTACGTTACCACTATATTATAATTATAATTAAGTACCTAAAAAATATCGATAGGTACCATTCTATTGTTAAATCAACTATGACATATTACAATATAGTTAATTTTTATTTGACTTCTCTGGCCACAGATTGGAAGAAATCGACACAATACATTAGAATTAAAAATGATAAACATTAACAAAGCTAAATACACTAAATACGCTAAATATTGCAACAACTATTCTAACTAGTAAAAAATGTTCAGGAATAAAAATATCACTAAGGAAAATAATCAAATAGCAAGAAATAAGAATTAATATACAAAGTTCAAATCTCGAAATGGTGAAATTAAGCTGCTAGGGAGATATTAAAATCTAAAGATATTGTGCTTTTTGCTATATTTTAATATCACCTAAAATGGCTTTTAAATACATGAAAACCTTCTATTAACTAAACATAACCTTATAAACTTGAAATTGATGGTCAAGAATTTTATCACTGAATAACAAATTTGTAACAAGTTTGTGTAAGAGATAAAAATATTAAAATGTAGGTATACTGAGCTGTTAGAAACATTTGAGGAATGCAGTTTTAAATATCTTGACAAAATACTATCAATGTGTGACGAAATAGTTGTTATGTCCACTAAAGCATGTTAAAATAATTAATAAAAATAATATAATTAAATCAGAAGCATCAACTTACCTATTCGAATGCACTTTAATTCATAACAACGGCAAAACAACTACAGAACAACAGCTATTGTATTTTACACGAAGCTATTAAAAAACTATTTTCAATCTTTGGCTTTGCGATAACAGTTATCTGGAAGTAGCTGCTTCAGATTTGTGTTGATTGTTTGAAATGTCGAGATATAATACTTAATTTCACCGGATTATCACTGTAATAAATCAGGCTCAGCGCCGGTAAAACACGGTAAGGTGTTAATTAACTCATGGTTTCCAAATTTGTTCACGTGCTTTTGTTTTGAAATACGGCAAAATACTATTTGGGTTTTAATTTGAATTTGTCAAAGTCCGTCTATATCAGCAAAAAGTTCCCGCACTGTTTTATTTTATCGGAGTTTTGTATATGTGCAACGTTTTACAGCGATGTGTTAAACGTGTTGCCTGTGTTTAACATTATTTTTCAGATTAACGTTATTAATACGAATTTATGTACATATAAAAAAATTGGGTAGTTGTCAGTACGCAATAACCATGCTTTAATCGTTTATTTTTGGAAACACTGCTAATTCTTGCATACATATTTTAATGTTGGTAAAACTGTTCTTGTATAAATTCTGTAGGTAATGTTTTTATCACTATGACGCTATGACGCTAATGTTCGACACCCACCCAAAGTATGGGATGGTATCCTGTACCTTCTTTAAATCCATATGTACCACTAAATTTCCTACTCTTCTTGTTTATGTTTTTTCTACCGAAGTTTAGCTATCGCCATATGATAAGTTTCTCTGTTTTGTGCCGCTTGTATTATGTTTGCAGTTTCTGGCATTTAGAGCCATTCTTGTAAGATTCTCAAAGATATTTTTTTCTTTTACCTTCTCCCCTGCTTTTAATCATGCCTTCTGCTATAAGGTGTATTAGGCTTGATTTATTATTCCGATACACATGGCCTAGGTATGAGACTTTCGTCCTTTTAATAGTAAATAGAAAATTTCATTTTCTTTACTAATTCGTCTCGATACTTTGTCCGTCCAAGATGTTCTTAGTATGGGTTCATAAAGCTTCTATTTTGATATATAATTGCTGCTTTTAACGTCCACCTTCTCTTCTGTAAGACAACGTAGAAAGTATCTAAGATATCGTGGCACCTGATTGGGCTATTGTGGTTAATCTCTACATCAGGGTTCTACTTTTCATTTATTGCATATCCTAGATATGTGAATCAGTGTACATTTTTAATTTTTAAATTTAATGTTCGTTTTCAATATGCAAGTCGATATTTTGGATGTTCTTACCAATCACCATAAATGAGAGAGACAAGAAAGAGAAAAAAGTGTTCAATAGAGAAAACAATCAGGCGTTGTTGCACACAGATGAAAACTTAATCAAAACGGTCTTTATCAAGGTTATCCTTGATTACTACTTAAATTAATACAGAATGTCTATCGGTAAATCAAGAAGGTCTGTACCTAATTTGTACAGAGACCATGCTATTGATGTCCTACAGGTTCAATAAAGCCATCGGAGTACTGCATGTCGCAGACCAAGGATTGGGGGTATGAAGCTTATATTGACGCAAACACATGATCGATAAGGTAGCTCAATCTTTGTTTGACCAGATATCAACGTAGCCTTCATATATTTAACAAACCGACATGAAATCGACATTCTCACAGTGCATGAATCATACAAACTGAACATGTTCGTTTGCAAAGGATTGGAGATCTGGTGAAAAAATCGTTGGTTCTCCCAAAAACACAATACATACTAAAAACTTGCCTTTATAACATAGAAATCAGATACAACACTGATCTTTTCGAAAGACAACGTTAAAAAAAGCAAAATCCAAGATAGTTTTCCACCTGAAATCGTGCCCTGGGTCATATGATAAATTTGTAAAAATCGTAAAACAAATATCACTAAAGTATATTTCTACAGAGAGCTACATGAGGATGACTTTTTTTGGAAGCAATAATGGGATATCTGTCAACAGAACAAGTGGTGCAAGCTAGTGACGAGTCTAGACATGAAACAAAACAGCAGCCTCCCTTGGAGGTTGATTCAGAATCTTGAAAACAATCTCACTGCCCCGCCATCCAACCCGACCAAAATCACTCTCGATCAGATAGCCCATTTTCGAACATTCGGCCGATATCAAGGAGGATCAAGGTGAGAGTCCAACGAGATATCGATAAAGAAAGGAATGTTCTAGGTACCTCCTTTTTTCTGGAGGAAATAAGAGAATATTTACTAAATGAAAGATAATAGAACAGAACAAACAAAGAGCTTTTGACAAATTATAGATTGGCTTGTACTTATGATGAATTGCTGCATCCGTACACTACAAATCCCCAAGATCTGAAACAAAGCTAGAGTGGTGGCCCTCTTAAAATCAAAGGATAAGTTTAGCAGATAAACAGGGTTTTCGTACTGGAGAATTATGTACAGATGCAATATTCGTCAGAAAGGAAATTACTGAGAAATCTCTACGGTGTAATAGACCAGCATTTCTGTGTCTGATTGACCTAAAGAAAGCGTTTGACAGGGTAAGACTCAAAGATGAATTCTATCTATCTATCTAATCAGCCTTAAACGCCCACTCTTGGGCATAGGCCTCCCCTGTTAATCTCCATTGGTCTCGATTTTGGGCGATCTGCATCCAGTCCTTTCCTGCCGTTCTCTTAAGGTCGTCAGTCCATCCCATCTGTGGTCTTCCTCTTTTTGTTTTCTTTTCCCATGGTCTCCAGTGTAGAATTCGCTTATTCCATCTTTCATCTTTTTGCCGGAGAGTGTGACCGGCGAAGTTCCATTTAAGTTTTGCAACGTCTTGATACATCGTTCACCTTTGTTTTTTCTCTGATCCATTCTTGGTATTCATCAAGCTTAGTTGTTAATCTATTTGTCATGATCTTCGTTAGTAGTTTAAATACAACACTTAGTAATGTTATAGGTCTGTAGTTTTCTAAGTTCTTTCGGTTACCTTTTTTGAACATTAATAGTGTCTCCACATCGTTCCAGCTATCGGGTATTTATTTTTGGTCAATATTTTGTTCATGAGGATGTGTAGGACTTCTCTAGTTGTTTTCCCTCCTCTCTTCAGCATCTCTGCAGTTGTTCCATCTTTTCCAGGTGACTTATGGTTTTTTAATTCTTGAATTGATGAAAGATTAATTTATCTTCGTATAATAAAGAAATTCCCTTAAATATCATAAAAACTATTGAAAACATCTACCAAAACAAAAAAATGGAAGTCCGAATAGGTGAACAACTTACATAACATAATATAAATAGTCAGCGGAATAAGGCAGGAAACTCATTGAGCCCTATGCTCTTTAATTTAATCATGGACGAACTCATCAAAAGTGTCAACAAAAGAAAAGGATACAAAATGAAAAAAAAAAGAAGTAAAATACTCTATTACGTAGACGACGTAACATTGATAACCCAAAATGAAGATAGCCTGCAAGGTCTATTCCACAGATTCAATATAAAACCTAAGAACAAATCACATGTAAAATTACAAATTGATGGCATTAGCGCATTAAACAAGTAATGAAAATGAAATACCTTGGAACTACACTGTCCAGTTATGGTGACCTAGACAAAGAAGTGAGAGATAAAGTACAAAAATTAAATAGAATTGGAGGATGCCTTAATAACACTATATAATTAAATTGACCCATTACCAGTAAGATAATGTCAAGATTTTATATAAAGCCAGTGTAAGACCAATAATAATAAAAAAAAATATAAAAAGAGTTTTTTTTCCTACAAAATTGTACTAGTCGATTATCTTTTTTATTTTATGAAAAAAATAATCTAGATAATAAGCTATACGTGCGAACTATGTCATTCATTTCGCTCTTCCTATTTTGGTGATATCTTGATTATTTAGGTTTTCTGGATTTCGTCTAATTGTTGCTTTTTTATTTATATGCCGTCTTCTCTCAGAAGGTTTGGAATAATCATAGCGATTCGAATCTTCAATGCCCACCATGCTGTAAACAGTTCTGTCGAACTACAGTTGAACCACTTTCTTAGATTGTTTAACGACATGTTTTCTACCTCAGCTTTTTCGTCTCTGCATGATCATACAGCAGTTCGTAGTGGCCACCTCTTAAAACATATTCTTCTTCTTTAAGTGCCATCTTCGCGACGAAGGTTGGCAAACATCATGGCTATTCTGACCTTCGAGGCAGCTGCTCTGAACAATTCCCTTAAGCTGCAACCAAACCACTCTCTCAGGTTCTTCAACCAGGAAATTGTGAGTTAAGAGTTTCAAGATGTTGAATGTTTCGCCACTCATTACATGTCCGATGTATTGCAGCTTTCCAGTAAAACATATTGCAGCTTTCCAATTTTGATAGTGTTCAGGACTTCTTTTTGTTCTTATTCTTTCCTATACTACGTCGTTGTCGTTTGTATCTTTGTCCACTCAGCTTATTCTAGCACATTTCGAAAGCCTCTAATCTATGACAATCTATTTTTTTAGTGTCCATGCCTTCATTCCATACAGCAGCACAGAGATCACAGTGTAATCAGCAGCACAATGTAATTAGATGATATTTACACAAAAACACGGAATATCTTTTGATTTTAATACGAATCGTCAGCTTGAAAAGAGGTTGTTTGCAACAATGGATTGTTAAAATCAATAATTCTGATGTTCTTAAAAAAAATTAAGCAAATATTATTAGTCTGGGATTGGATACTAAAAATTGCTTCAGCGATAAAGGTCAGGTAAGTGAGTACAATATTTCAAATATGTTCCAAAACCTGGCATACAAATATTTTTTATTTTTAATACAGTTATTTCTTTATTTCACAACAAACGATTTAGGTCTGTATATACTATACATATTCGCTATATACTGTATTTATATAGGTTGCTTGCTTTCATAGAGTTGTTTCTAAACGGATTCCGATTTAAAAAATACAATCCAAACATCTACAAAAATAGTTGCTATCCTACAATTATAATTAATTTACATTACTTATTAACTATAAGTGAAATTTAAAAAGAAAATACATTCATAAAACAGAAAAATAAATAAATAACACATTGAAACATA